GTCACTAATATAGAGACTAGCAGAAGATGATGTCTTAGAGAAAGAAGTGAACTTCATTGTTAAAAAATTAATTTTATTTTAATTATTTTAAAATTAATTTTACCTTCATTATTATTATTTTAAAAATTACTATAGCACACATGCACTCATCAGAGAGAGACAGAGAGAAGAGAGAAAAAGAGAAAGTTACAAAGCAAGCCACCAGGTCCAGGTCTTGAACCATATTTTGTCATGAAGAAATTCAACACCTTAACTATCCCACTTGCTAGTCCACTGTACTTCATTTTTTATGAGAGTGAAATGAAGTACCATTGAAGAGGTTCTATCAGAAGAAACACAAAAGTTAATCTACCTATAAGATCACTCTGGCTCCTATATCAGAATTCAATTGGAGTGCAGTGGGGTGGGAGGTAGAAGTAGAAGCAGGAGGATAAGCTAGGGAGTAAATTTCAGTAATCTAGGTGAAAATTAAACTTGCTAGTGAAACTAGGATGGTGTTACTAAAGGTTATAAGAAATTTTGTTTCTGGATATATTTTGAAGGTACAACAAGCAGAATTTCATCTCAGAAAGGATGTGAAGTAGGTGAGAGAACAGTGAAGACTGTGTCATGGTCTGATCCCACTGCTATAGCAGAATACCAAAGACTGTTTGATTTGTCAACAATAGAAATTTATTCCTCACAGTTTGGGAGGCCAGTAAATTCAAACAGTCAGCAGATTCAGCACTTGGTGAGGGCCTGTTCTTTATAAATGGCTCCTTCTTTGCATCTTCTCTTAGCAGGAGGTGTGAAGTGTGTATCTTTACATATCAGAAGGAAGAAGAGAGTAAACTCACTCTTTCAAGTCCTTCTGTAGAATTCTAATCCCAATCATGATAGAAATGATCCTTATCATCTACTCACCTCCAAAGACCCCATATATTATTTACTTTGGAGGTTAAATAAAAACATACAAATTTTGGATGAATACAAATATCCATGCCATAGCAAAGTGACTTAAAATTATTTGGACTAAAATCTCATAGATGGAATTGCCATCACATGAACAGAGGAAGCCTACAAGCATGGAGATGGTGGTGGAAGTGAAGGGTAGAATCCTTTGTTAGACTTCTGAATTTGAGATGTTCATTTAACAAGAAAGTATAAATCTAGTCAAGCAGTTAGGTGTATGAGTCTTGAGTTAGAGAATATATTATAAAGAGATTAAAAGTTATGGGCATTTAGTATTTAGATAATTTTTAAAGCTATGGGATTTGGTGCACTGAAGCAGTATGTAATGACAGAGGGAAAAAAGACCCAGGTCTGAATCCTGGGCTCTGTAACTTTCAGAGGTTACAGGGAAAAGGCAGACTCACAGAGTGACCTATAAAACAGGAAGAAAATCAAGAAACCACAGAAAGTTGGAAAACAAGTGAAAAAAAATGTATCAGGAACTCAATATGATAGAATATTTTTAATACTGCTGACGGATTTACTAAAATGCTGGATGAAAACTGCCCATTGAATTTATCAATGTGAAGGTGATTTGCAATGTAGAAAAAAAAAGTGTATTTAGGTGGAGTGGTAAGGAAACCTGTTGGTACAGGGTTAACATGCCAGATCCAAATGTATGCATACCCAAACCGCTGAGAGGAGACAGGAAGAGAAGAGATTATGAAGTGGTAAACCCCCTGAGGAGTTATTTCTCTTTCCTTCTCTCTGTCTCTGACTTTCTCTGAAAGTGCATATTCCCTATAGCAAAAATCTGAAAAAAAGAAATCATTTGGCATTATTGCCTACAGTTGTGTGTAATTCTTTTGTAACAATTTTATCTGTATGTATGATACTATGTAACTGGTTGTAAAATGATTGAAAATATCCATATCAAATTAATGAGACTGCAAATATCAGTAGGCTCTTAGAAAACACAAAATAATTGATCTAATGGGATTATTCATTGATGGGTGTTTAATCATAAAAATCAGTATCTCAAAATGTATATAAAATAAACCATAGTTTATTTAAGATTAGTAGTAAGAGACATAGAAATATCATAGCATGCAGTAAAGGGGATAACTCACAAATTGAAATAGTGGTTTCAACTGAAAAGGGAAATCCTAAATAATTTAGACCACAGAGAAAGTTTAAAAAGTGGGACCAGCAGTTAGCGTAATGGCTACATTGCTGGACTCCCACGTAGTTGACCACGGTTCGAGTCCCAGACCCGGTGGCTTAAAACTCACGCCGGGCGTGTGTGCATGCGTGTCCAAGATCCCAAGAGGAGAATGGAGGAGAAGGGATTGCGGTGTGGCCATTGCCCAAGGGGTGACTTCTCGCTTCCTGTCTCTCTGTCTGTCTGGCGAGTGCATGCGCCCTGTAGCGAAAACCTCTCCAAAAAAAGAAAAAAATAATTACTGATGAGGAGGCAGTAGATGGTGGAGCAGTTATGTCAGTGGACTCCAGCATGGCTAACCACATCTCAAGTCCTGGACCCAATGGCTTGAAATTCATATTGGAAGCATGTATGTATCCAGAATCTGTAGAGGAGAATGAAGAAGGAATTGTGGTGTAGCCATCACCCCTGAGGGGTGATTTTTCACTTTCTTTGTCTTCTCTCTCTCTAGTAAGTACATGTATCCTAAGGCAACACAAGTGGACTCCAGCATGGCTAACCACATCTCAAGTCCTGGACCCAATGGCTTGAAATTCATATTGGAAGCATGTATGTATCCAGAATCTGTAGAGGAGAATGAAGAAGGAATTGTGGTGTAGCCATCACCCCTGAGGGGTGATTTTTCACTTTCTTTGTCTTCTCTCTCTCTAGTAAGTACATGTATCCTAAGGCAACACACCCCCCTAAAAAAAAGAAAAGAAAAAGTAAAGAAGTAAGTATGTGTAATATTCTTCTAATTTTAGATGAAGTTCAATTTGCATATCAAAAGGATAGTTAACTAAACACACATATGGATAGCCCTTAAAATCTGACCAATATTTAAGGAAATATTGATAAACTCTAGAGAGTCAGATTAGGAAATCACTAACTTTGAAGAGGACAGTTTCATCCTATAACATAATGTAAATTTTGTTATGCAAATATATATGTCTTACAATAAGATATTTCTAAATTAGAAAACTAGAAATAAGTAAAGGTTTATTAAAAATGAGAGTAAAAACATGAAAATAGCAATAAGTAGTAACTTTAAGAGATATTATGCTAACTTTAATTGCTTAAATAGATAATTAAATTATGGTTACTCTTTATAGAAAAGGAGATTAAACAATCCAAATTAAAAGCAGAATCTCCAATCATCCTACAATAACAGGATAGTTGAAAAATGTAGTTTCTGGGGCCAGCAGGTGGAGTGGTGGTTAAGGATGCTGGACTCCAACATGTTAACCATGGTTCAGGTCATGGACCTGTGCTTTCTCCCTCTCTCTCACTCTATTCCTCTCCAGTCAAAATTAAAATGAATACATAAAAGTTAAATAAAATAATTCTAAAAAAATCTAATTTTTAAAATGTAGTTTCCAAAGCATCATGCTTGAGTGAAGACATTAGTCAGGTTACAGAAATATAAGAAGTGGAACATCAAGTCAGATCCATAGGAGATACAACCCCATAATGTGCATCTAACTTGAGTAGTGTATTATTTCAAATATATAGTATTTATCAGTAATGCTGATATTAATTATTTACTCATTTATTTCATTTTGTTGACTGACAATGAGCATAAAATTATAGTCATGAGGAACTAAAACTTGGAAAAATCTTTTCTTTTTTTAGACATTTTTGTCTTAGGACACATTTGCTTGCCAGAGAGAAAGAGAGACAGAAACAGTGAGAGGGAAAGTGAGAAATCACCCCCTGGGGTGATGATCATGCCACAACGTCTTTGCCCCCATTCTCCTCCCAGTATCTTAGGAATGCATGCATATGCACATGGCATGATTTTGAAGCCACCAGGTCTGGGACTTGAACTGTCATTGGCCATATGGGTGTCCAGTGGCATAATTGCTATGTCATCTATCTTTTCCCAGATTCTACCTTTATTAAGGTAGAATACCTTACAAGTTTACCTTGTTGGTATAAAGACTTTCCTCCATGAAGAGAAATATATTGAGTAGTGATGAGAATAAGCATTTTCATTTTCTTAGTTTATATTTTTCATATAGCTCATTAAACTTACATTCAAGTTGAGATGCTGTTAACTAATGAGTATAGTCAAAAGAAGCCAATCCATGGTGGAGTTGATAACAAATTTACAACTTAAAATCAGCATAATGATAACTTTACCTAAAAATATTTAGATTAGACCCTAAAGTGCACAGATGAGCCCATATAACACCATTAAGATAGATTTTTCATAAGCATGCCTTCTTAGGAATAATACCATGGATAGGTTCTTTGGGAGTGGGTGGCATACAAGTCTGATCCAGAGAGGAGAATGGAGGAGAAGGGATTGCGGCGTGGCCATGCCCCCCTTGGGGGGTGATTTCTCACTTTCTATTTCTCTGTCTCTCTCTGTCTGGTGAGCGCACATGCCCTATAGCAAAAATCTCCCCCTCCCAAAAAAAATGCCAGAATTCAACACTGGACAGTTTACTTAGCATGTTCCTTTATATACTTGGTAGGTAATATACCATTTAATGTCTGATTGGTCTTGTAAATGTACTTTACCTATAGCCTTTCCAGTGAAATGCCCTTCTTCCAGTTTCCCAGCCAAAAACATGAAGTCAAATAATAATAATAATAACAACAATAATAAAACTATAGGTCACAGCTGACTTAGAAAAAGAACATCTTTGCATTTGCTAACAAGATATATTTATAGAGAATCTGATCAATTTTTTCTCTCACACTCCTAACATCCTAGTCTGAGATCCATCATCACTCCCTTAGATCATCATGATAGATGCTAATCATTTATCCTACTCTTCCTCTTGTTCTATTAAGTCTGATTTTAGTACAACAGTCAAGATTCATTTTAAAACTAGATTCAAATCAGAATATTCCTCTGTTCTAAATCCAGTAATGGTTCCATTTCACTTAGAATAATAGGCAAAGACTTTACTATTATCTGACCTTCTGTTGCCTCTTTGGCTACTTTCAGTATTGCACCCTTGCTCCCTTGACTTCAGACGGTGTCTTCCTAGGTCTCCCTGGGCACATCAAGCAGGCTTTCACTCTGTGGCATCAGCATCAGGTCCACCTGTTTTCTCTGCTCACAACATTCCTGCATTAAGGGTGCATGGCTAATACCTTCATCACTATACGACATTGTTCCAGTCTGCCCTCAGTGAGACTGCCCTTATCACTATACTTAACATAGTAGCTCAATCCGGACTCTCAAGCCAGTAATTGTGCACTACATTTTTCTCTTTTAAAAGTATTTATCATCTAGCATACTAATTAATTAATTAATTAATTAGTTAATCTATTGGGTTTTTTTTTTTATCTGTTCCCACTCAGAAACCTCAAGAAGACAAGAATCTGTCTATTTTAATCATGAATATATCCCAAGTTTGATGCCCAGTGCTTAGGACATAGGAGGAACTTATTTTGCACCTTGTGTCAATGTTGTTAAGTACTTGGAATTTGAAATCTGTGTCAAAGACCTTAAAACTAAGGATTTCTGGGGCCACTAGGTAGCATGGAGGTTAAGGCACTGGATCCCATGTCTCTACATGGTATGAGTCTGGGACATGGAAGTTTGAAAAACACTGTAAATTCATGCCCAAAATCCTGAGAGGAGAATGGAGGAGAAGGGGTTGTTACATCTTGTTCAATGCTCTGGAGGGTGATTTCTCTCTTTCTCTGTCTTTCTCTGGCAGGCACACACACTCTATAGAAAAACTAAAAACAAACAAATAAGAGCCAGCAGGTGGCACAGTGATTGGGTGATATATTCCCACATGTTCTAACGTGCTTCGAGTTCCAGGACTGACATCTTGAAACTCAAGTGAGCACGCTCTATAGCAAAAATCTCTCTTAAAAATATATATATAAAACAACAAACAAACAAAACAAAAAGATTTCTGTTTTTCTTTAAGAACATTTCATGGGACCAGCAGATGGCATAATGGTTGTGTCACATAATTCCCACTTAAGTCAAAGTGGTTTGAGTCCTGGACTGGTGTCTTAAAACTCACACCAGGCATCCCTCCAGGGGGGATGGCCATGCTGCAATCTAGTCTCCTCACGGGATCTTGGGCATGAACACATATGTGCCTAGCATAAATTTTAAATCACTAGGTCCTGGACTCAAATCATAGTCAAATAATGGTAGTTCAGCAACATAACCATTATGTAGTCTGTTAGTTCTGACAGTGAAAAGATTCTGAAAACCACGCAAGAGAAGATACAAATAATCTAAAAACTGCAACCAATACACAAGAAAATAAACTCAAAAAACCATGTAGGCCAGGAGGAAGTAGCTGACATATTCAGAATGCTGAAAGAAAAAAAAATCATCAGCCAAGAATACATACCTGGCAAAGCTATTCTCAGTAATAAAGCAGAGACAGACTTTCCTAGAAAACTAAAGCTGAGAGAATTTCTTACTCCCAGATTTGTCATGCAAGAAATTATGAAGGAGTTTGTTTTGTTTATTTGCTAGCAGGTGGCATCTGCTTACCAGAGAGAGAGGGAAAGTGAGAATATATCCATCATGGAATATAGTCATGCTTTGATTCCAATTCCAGTTCTCCTTTTGAGATTTTAGGCATGTATGCACATGTACTTAGTATGTTTTTCAAGTCTCTGATCCAGGATTTGAATTGTGTGGTCTTCATGTGAAATCCAGTTGTATTAACCAGCACGGTACTGGCTGACCGAAGAATTCTTAAATGAAAAGAAAAAAATGATAAGCATAAGGAAGAAACATCTGGAGGTATAAAAGTCACTGGTAGAAATAAGTATATGAACAAATTCTGAATATGCTAATCCCATCATGATGTGTAAGCTACTCATATATTTTATATAAAAATTAACAGACAAAAACATTAAAAGTATTACAAGTTAGTAAAGGATAGAAAATATTAAAAATACAAATGATAGCATCAAAAATTCAAAATATTGTGGTCAGCAGGTGGCATGGTGGTTAAGGTTCTGGACATGCACATGTGGACACTGGTTCAACTTCCCGAACTGGTGACTTGAAATTCATGCTGGGCACATGTGTATGTGTGCCCAGAATCTCCCAGGAGGAAAGTATAGGATAAGGGGCTGCAGTGTGGTCATATTCCCTGAAAAGTGATTCTTCACTCCCTGCTCCCCACCCCTCCCCCCCCACACACACACACTGTCTCTCTGTTCCTCTGGTGAGTGCTCACACCCTATGGCAAAAATCTAATAAACAAACAAATAAAAAAATATTAAATTATATTTGGGCAGATGAAGTTGAAATGCTGAATGTAATCTTTTTTTTTTTAGTATCTATGTTATCAAAGTCAAGTTTCTATCAGATTATAATCATCTGTACCAACTGTAAATGCTTCTAGTCAGTCTTATGGTAACCATAAGGCGAAAACTTATAAAAGATACACTAAAAATTAAAAGTAAATGATTAGGACATATTACTAAGGAAAAAAATCACAAGAAAAGATAGAGATAAATAAAGGTAGAATACAAAACAATTTAAAAACAAGTAAATAAAAAGTAGCAATAAATCCTTATTATCAATAATTGACTTGACTGTATATGTATTGAATTACTCAATTAAAAACACAAAGTAGCTGAATAAATAAAAACCAAACTCCAATTATACGCTACCTACAAGAATCTCACTTCTCCTGTAAAGACCCTCACATTTGATATAAAGTGGTTAAATATGGAAGATCTAATGCAAAGTGAAGTAAGCTAGACTGAAAGAGAGTCATTGTATATCCCCACTCAACATGTACTGAGTGTATGCACTTTGTGGAAGAAATTGAAAGATTGGTACGTATAAAAACACGGAGAGCAACTATGGATACTAGAGACAGTGCAGGAGGAGGGTGGAAAAAGGGGGAAGGTAAAAGGGAGGGGATCGAAAGGAAAAAGAAGAAAGCAAAAGAGACACAAAAACAGAAAATTATCTGCTGATAATGTGTATAGCAATATCTTTGATTGGACTAATACAGAGTGTATTCATGAAGGTTAAATTTATTTGGTATGCTGTAATGATATACAGTGACTGAGTGTAAAATATCAAATTAAATTAAATTAAATTAAATTAAAAGAATGAAAGTGAAGGAAGGGGAAAAATATTCCCAGAAATCTTAAATGAAAAGAAACAAAGATAACAAAAACAGAGAAAAATACAACAAAACAGTAAACTAGAGACCAATGTCCCTGATAAAATATAGATACATGGGAAAGCTCTGGGTTTGTGTCAGGAGACCTCCTTAACTACATCAGACATACACAAAACCATGATCTGGCTTGGGTGAGGCTGGGGGAGTTTTGTGACATCAAGACTCTATTGGAGGTTCCTCTCGCTCTGTCTCCCATCTCAAGAAAAAAAGAAATAAGCTATTAAAATAATAAAATGTAATCTAATACTTTTGCTGGAATTACTCAGACAACATCCCTTCCTTCCTGATTAAGTTATTGAGTAAGTGTTTTAATACTGGAGGCCAGTCTGGAGTGGTACATTTAGGATGCAAGACACTGTTATTCTTTTGTCCAGTTGTGCTAACTCCTATTCTATCATTTTCGTTTCTGATGTAATCCTCTCTGATTCATGGGATGAAGACAAGGGAGAGTAAGAAATCTCTTTAGTGTCCCACATAACTCTATGACTGTCATTTTCTTGGGTCTACAAAGTCTCTTAACCAGATATTTAAAGTGTGGCAAAAATTACTTCAAGGTTAGCCATATCCATGACATTGGACCCTAGTGATAATTTTCTTAGATCCCTAAGGTCCTTTTTATGCAAGAGGTCTCAGCTCTTAATGTGGAGATGTGCTGTTAAACTTGTTTCATTCATATTTTATTGAGGATTTTTCTATCTATATTTTATAAGGGACATTGGTCTTTAGTTTTCTTTTTGTTATATCCTTCTCTGTTTTTGTTGTCTTTGTTTATTAAAATTTTTGTTTTTAGAAATATTTTACCCATTTCCTTCACTTCCATTTTTAAAATGTAATTTCATTACTATTACATTAATATTTTATTTAATGTCAAGTAAATTATTAACATTAATAAATTATTTAATATTAATGACACATTATACATTACTGTCAACTAAGGCTTGGGTAGGTGGCTTGATAGTCTTGTCTGGGATCTCCTACATATTCTGGCCCTAGCTATTTTAAGTCTAATCTAATATGATCTTGATCTGAATATTGGTGTTCACTTTTTGGTAGTCTGTCATCCAGAATGTTAGTCTGGGCTTGTTCTCTTGACAGATAGTACCACGGAGAAAATGGAAGGGCACAAGGCCTCCTAGGTACAGATTCAGAACTGGAATTTCATTCTTGTCTACCACCTTGCATCAACCAAAGTGAGTGGCAAGAACTGACCAGAGTCTCAGTGGGAAATAATGAGGTTGAGTAGATATTCAGAGGTTATGACTGTGTCCACAATGTAATACATCTACTGAACATGCTTATTATGTGCCAGGTATTTCCCTAAGGGTTGCATAATTTATTTTATTCAATCTTTAGCAGTGCCCATAATACTACTTCATCCTCTGTCATTGTTCATACAGGTCTGACTAGATGGAAACTCTTATCATTTGGCAAACAGAAGCAACTTGCTCATGCTTTTAAATTCAACTTCAATGCCATCACTTTCAGGAAGTTTTTCATTTAGTCAAGTGACTGGGTCAACAGCTTTTTATCTATACCCCATTAGTGTTTTAATAATGGAGGACTGTAAGTTCCTGCATCACATTGAATTGAATTCAATTAATTTCTATGCTTCTTCCATTAAATGTACATTTCTTGTCCCCAGGAACTGGGTAGGTAATTTATCTTGAGCCAGTTACTTAATCTTCCTATATCTCAAGTGGCTCATTTATAAGCAGGGTAGTAGTGCTAACAAACCTACAGACACTTAGTTAAGATTCAATGTGTTAATATTTATAAAGTGCTTACAAGATGATTAGGATATTTTAAGTGCTCAATAGTGTTAGTCACTATTACTACTTATATTGGCACTGTCTTATACTTTTTCTGGCACAATACACATAACTCATAGAGTGTAAAGGAGCTAGAAAAGTTTAGACTTTTGGCGAAAATATACTCTCTCAAGGGGTTGCTGATTTATTTTAATTATTGTCTCTTTTGTATGCAGAAGCTTTTTAAATCAAAACCAGATGAGATACCACTTAACCCCAGTCAGAATGGCTGAAATAAAAAATGAAAGTAAGATAAGTGTTGGCAAAGTTGTGGTGGAAAGGCAACTCTCCTACACTGTTCGTGGGAATGTAAATTATTAGAGTCACTGTGGAGAACAATATAAAGGTTCCTCAAAAACATAAAAATAGAACTACTATATTACTCAGCAATTCCATTTCTAGGTATCTATCCAAGTGACAGGAAAATGCTCAGTAAGAAAAACACTTGCACATCCATGTTTATTGTAGAATTTTTCACAATTGCTAAGACATGGAATCAACCCAAATGTCTATGAGCTGTTGAATGGATTGAAATAGGGTGAACACATACGCTATGGAATATTACTCTGCCATTAAATTCTCCCATTTCAAGGGGTTGCTGGTTTATTTTAATTATTGTCTCTTGTTTGCAGAAGCTTTTTAAATCAAAACCAGATGAGATACCACTTAACCCCAGTCAGAATGGCTGAAATAAAAAATGAAAGTAAGGTAAGTGTTGGCAAGGTTGTGGTGGAAAGGCAACTCTCCTACACTGTTCGTGGGAATGTAAATTATTAGAGTCACTGTGGAGAACAATATAAAGGTTCCTCAAAAACATAAAAATAGAACTACTATATTACTCAGCAATTCCATTTCTAGGTATCTATCCAAGTGACAGGAAAATGCTCAGTAAGAAAAACACTTGCACATCCATGTTTATTGTAGAATTTTTCACAATTGCTAAGACATGGAATCAACCCAAATGTCTATGAGCTGTTGAATGGATTGAAATAGGGTGAACACATACGCTATGGAATATTACTCTGCCATTAAAAAATGAGTCCTTGCATTTGATAGAAAGTAGGCAAATATGGAAGTTTTACTGCTAATGGTAGCAAGCTGGCCTATGAAAGAGAGGAGAGGCATTGTATGTCCCCAACCAATATATAACAAATATCAGCACTGGGTGGCAGAAACTGAGTAACTGCAACTTACAAAAGCATAGAGAGCAATGATGATACTGGAGGCAGTGTGGGAGGAGGGTGAGAAATGGGAGAAGAGAGTGTGATAGGGAGAGAATCACAGGAAAGAAGCAAGAAACAAAACATTTACGGGACCCAAAATGGAAAGAAATCTATTGATTATAATTTACATGGTAATGTCTTTGACTGCACCAATATGCAGTGTATTCAGAATGGGAAAATTCATTTGGTATGGTGTAATGATACACAGTGATTGATTATAAAAAATAAATGCATAATTTTAAAAATTAGTTACTAATTATAGAAGTGAAAAACTAACATGCTTTTCTTACTAATAGAACACTCCATCTTGGGAGATAGAAAATAAGGTAAGTCAATTCATAATTATACAGAAATAATTATAGTTTGATCATCATTATGAAGAAAATGAAAATGTTGACAATAAAGAATAATGGCAGTAGTGGAAGAATTTTGAATAGAGTAATGGGGGAAGGCTTCTCAGGAAATTACAGTTAATCTGGTTATGGGTTAAGACATAGTGCCAAAAGTTAAAGAGAAACAGAGGGAGGTCAGCAGATGGTGTAGAGGTTACTTGGCTAGACTCCTACACTGCAAACCACAGTTTGAGTAGCAGACACATTGGCTTAAAACTCATGCCACCAGATGCATATATGTGTGAGCCCAAGATCTTGGGAGGAGAAAGGATGGCAGCATGGCCATCCCCCTTGGAAAGTGATTTCTCACTTTGCTTCTCCATCTTTCTTTCTCTCTCTCTGACTCTCTTTCTCTCCCTGGTGAGCAAAAATGCCCTAAGGCAAAAACTTCTACCAAAAAGAAAGAGACAGAGAGAGAGAGAGAGAAAGAATCAGAGGAATGGTCATATGAGGAAAAAGGGGACTCATTTTCAGAGAGGAGATGAACTGACATTGAAGTGAGAAAAGACTTTCATTGCTCTGGGGCAAATGGGAAAAAGAACAATGGGACTGATGCATGTGAAGATGAGGGACTCAGTAAGTGTTTGGCATGGCCGGCAGATGATATGGTGGTTAAGGAAGTGGACTTCTTGATTGATCATAATTCAAGTCCAAGACCTAGTGGCTTGCATGCTCTCTCTCTGGTGATTACATGTGCCCTATAGCAAATTAAAAAATAATAATAATCAATATAATTAAATAATTATATTTTTTAAAAGTGTTGAGAGAGATGGAAGCATTGGCAAGATGAAAAAGAGGTTCTAAGACAAGTCAAAAGTTTCTAAGAAAATGAGAAACCAAGGAAGGGTAATAGTGTGAAACTATCATAATCTTCACATTATAAATACTCAGATCATAAAGCAGACTAATATTTTTGAAGGTCCCATTGACTGCCAGTGGAGAATGGACTTTATCATTTCTAACACATTTCTGAAAGAACAACTCCGGATGAAAAATACGTCATATTACAGGCAAGACTATTACCTACCAACCACAATCTTTTGTTTCAGTCATAGTTTTTTTCATGGCATTTTTCACCTCTGCATTCCTCAAAGTGTATATCAAGGGATTTAACATGTGTGGAAAGATTGTATCAAACATAGTTATAGCCTTGTCTATGGGGTAGGTAGCCACAGCCACATATGGAGAGGGCTTTGAGCTGCCCTTCAGAACTATAAGATTTCAGGGAACAAAAGATAACTATATATGAAGCAATTAGGATAAAGAAGATAGCTGTACACATCATCCTACTGTTGAGGATGACTAAGAGACCCAGGGTGTGGGTGTCCATGCAGGTAAGTTTCAACAATGGAAACAAATCACATATAAAGTGATCAATAACATTGGGGCCACAGAAAGGTATTTGGTACATGAAGAGAAGTTGTACTGTGGCATGCAGGGATCCCCCCACCCAAATCCCTCCCATCATCAGGCAGCACACCTGAGGGCTCATGATGACTGTGTAGTGCAGGGGCTTACAGATGGCCACATAATGGTCATAGGCCATCATAAAAAGTGGGATGATGCCCATGCCACCAAAGAAGTGCTCTGTAAAGAGCTGGGTCATGCAGCCTTCCAGGGAGATGGTGGTGCTCTCAGAGAGGGAGTCCACAATCACCTTGGGGGTGATGACAGAAGAGTAGGAGACATCCAAAAAAGACAAGAAGGTAAGAGAAAAGTACATAGGTGACCGTAGATTCTGACTTGCGATTAAAGGTACTATAATGAGTAAGTTTCCCAAAAGTGTAGCAACATACATGATTAGAAACATAGCAGAAAATATTTTCTTCAGCTCTGGGTTCTCTGTAATACCCAAAAGGATGAATTCTGTCACATTGTTTTTGTTTTTCATTTATCAGGTATTGACATGAGTTCCAGCTGAAAGTGGGGAAACCTAAAAAATAAATATGTAGTTTTATTAGTGATTATTAGGACTCTTGTATTTCCAGGATCTTGGGGAACTTGCTGTTCATAATTGTACATTTACTCACCCTCCAACTACTTAACTTTTAAGAACCTACTAAATAGGGACCAGCAGATGGCATAATGGTTATGTTCCTGGACTCCCACATATTCTACCACGGTTTGATTCATTGACCCGATGGCTTAAAACTTAAAACTGACACTGGGCTTCTGTGCACGTGTGCCCCAAATCCTGAGAAAATGAAGGAGAAGGGATTGCACCATGGTCATTCCCCCTTGGGAGAGGAGGATGATTTCTCACTTTCTGTCTCTGGCAAGCACATATGCCCTAAAGCAAAAATCTCTCAACAAAGAGAGAGAGAGAGAGAGAGAGAGAGAGAGAAAGAAAGAATGTACTAAATAAAGAGTTTAAAATTCACTTCATTAATCCAAGTTCACCTCGTGTCTCTTCTCTCTTTATAAGTAATTCTTTTATATGAAATAATTTCTCTTTATCCTTCTTCATTTATAATTAATTTTAAAATAATTATTTATTTAATTATTATTACTATCGTTATTACTGTTAATTTTGCTACAGGGCACATGTATTCACCAGAGTGACATAGAGAGAGTGAGAAAGAGAGAGAGATAGTGAGAAAGTGAGCCAGTAGGTCTAGGACTCAATCTACTGTCAGTCATGTTGGAGCACAGTGCTTTAATCACCATGCCACCTACTGGTCTCTATAATTGTTATTTTTAAGAGCCAACTTTTTGGAGCACCTACTCATTCCAGGCACTGGAATAACTCTACAAGTAATATTATGTAACATAGGAAAAACAGAAAACAAAACAAACAAACAAAAAAACCTCACTGTGGAGTTTGGGAAATGTAATCAAGTTGGCATGGATAGTGAGTGGTGAAGCCCGAAAAGGCACTGTATTTTCTGAGTTCATCAATGCTCCCAAACATAAATATTGCTTCTCTTGTAATTATACTGGGAGTTCATTATTTACCCATGGCTATACTATTCTATTTTATCTTAAAAACTATCATTTGAAATGGATCATTCCTTCTGAGCTCTATTTTCAAATAATATGGTCATTCTCTTGTAATTTCATACTTTTTCCTAAATGATCAACATCTACTGACAATAGTCATTATATAGTCCTTGAATAGTATCATTCAGGGATGAAGATTACAAATGATGATGGTGTATCAAAGGTTCAGATGTATGATATAAAGATTCAATGGAATCAACCCCAGTCATCGTATCCTCTGTCTCATAAATAGATCATAGAATTTCTTGTTGTAATTTTGATCACAACAAGGAGCCAGATGGTAACAAAGTGGCTTACCCACATGGAAAGGTCCCAGATTTACATCTGGAGGCCTCCCTGATTATACTGGACACATTTGTCCCCATGGTCTGGGGCTGGCTGAGGTTGGAGGTAAATCATGGCAATAAAACCATGCTAGGGGTACATTCTCTCTCTTTCTCTTTGGCTTATGAAGGATATATAAAAACACACTGGGCATGCATTCAATATTCTGGACTCTGAGAAGATGAAGGACTGGAAAAATGGGATTGGGCCTTCACTAGAGCCTGGAGGGTGCTTTCTCTCTCTCTCTCTCTTTCCCTTTCCTTATTACTTTCATATGTCCATGCTGCACTATATCATGTGTATAGGAACATATCTAAAAAATAATAACAATATTGGGAACCATCAGTTAGCGTAATGGCCATGTTCCTGGACTCCCACGTAATCGACTGTGGTTCACGTCCTGGACCCGGTGGCTTAAAACTCACACTGGGCATGTGTGCGTGCATGCCCAAGATCCCGAGAGGAGAATGGAGGAGAAGGGATTGTGGCGTGACCATACCCCCTGGGGGGTGATTTCTCACTTTCTGTCTCTATGTCTCTCTCTCTCTGGAGAGTGCACGCACCCTATAGCGAAAAACTTCTCAAAAAATAATAATAACAATAACAACACATAATTCATTAACTTTTAGGTTGACTATAACTTGGGGAGATGTTGCAGATATGCTAGGTGCATTACCTTAGTTAAACCTCATGATACCACATGAGGCACCCTTACTATTCTCATTGCAAAGAAAGAAACTAATGCCCTAGAAATTTAAATAGTTTGCACTCAGGGACCAGCAGTTAGCGTAATGGCTATGTTGATGAACTCCCATGTAGTCGACCGCGGTTCATGTCCTGGATCCTAGAGCTTAAACTCATGCCAGGCGCACGTGTGTGCATGCCCAAGATCCTGAGAGGAGAACGGAGAAGGATAGCGGAGTGGCCATTCCCCCCTGGAGGGTGATTTCTCTCTTTCTGTCTCTCTGTCTCTCTCTGTCTTTCTGACAAGCACATGAGCCCTATAG